CCCTTCCAAACCATAGCCGGTCTTTCTCGTGGCGTCTAGCTACAGCGCCTGGGGTTTCCCGCCCCACATCCCGGGCTGCAATTTTCCTGCCCCTCTGGGCGGGGGGGGGACTCTGTCCCAGCGTCCTGGGGAGTGGGGTGGCGTCTCTATGCCGGTCCCTTTGCAGTTTTGGCAGCTCCTGCCCTTCTCTCTCATCGAGTCCAGCTGGTTCTTCCATCCATGGCGAAAGTGTCTCACAAGCGTCTCACAGCATCGAACAGAGCCATTTTGGTGTAGTGGTTAAGTGTGCAGACTCTAATCTGGGAGAACCGGGTTTGATTCCCCCACTCCATGCAGCTGCTGGCATGACCTTGGGTCAGTCACAAGTTCTCTCAGGGATGTTCTCTCAAGGACAGCTCTCTCAGAGCTCTCTCAGCCCCATCTACCTCGCAGGGTGTCTGTTGTGGGGAGGGGAAGGGAAAGGAGACTGTAAGCCACTCTGAGACTCCGAGAGACTCGAATAGCTCATAAGCAGAACCCAAGTGTTCTGGGGAGAATTCTCACTGGGAGATCCGTTCGGGTTCTGGTCCTTCTTTCTCCATTCCCCCCCTTTCTTTGGTGGCTGCAGAACCAGAGAGCTGACACCCACTCCCGTTGTCCACATTCTTGTTTGGTGTAGGTGGTTAAAGTGCGTGGACTCTGATCTGGGAGAACTGGGTTTGATTTCCCCACTCCTCCACTTGAACCTGGCTGGATGACCTTGGGCAAGCCGTAGTTCTGATAAGAGCTGTTCTTGAAAAAGAGCCGTTTCTGTCAAGAGCTCTCTCAGCCCCCACCTGCCTCACAGGGTGTCTGTTCTGAGGAGGGGAAGGGTAAGAGTTTGTAAGCTGCTCTGAGACGCCAAGTGAAGGGTGGGGTATAAATCCAATCTCCTCCTCCTCCTCTTCTTGTTTGGTGTAGTGGTTAAAGTGTGCGGACTCTAATCTGGGAGAACCGGGTTTGATTCCCCACTCCTCCACGTGCACCTGCTGATGTGACCTCGGGTCAGTCACAAGCTCTGGCACAGCTGTCCTTGAAAAAGAGCAGTTTGTGTCAGAGCTCTCTCAGCCCCCCCCCCCACTTCCCAGGGTGTCTGCTGTGGGGAGGGGAAGGGAAAGGAGTTTGTAAGCCGCTCTGAGACTCCAAGTGAAGGGCGGGGCATAAGTCCAATCTCCTCCTCCTCCTCCCCCTTTTCTTCTTCTTCAAACTGGTTTAACCAACGGGACTTCCTCGCAAGGTATCCTGGGAGGCCCTTGGATCCATTTTTGCCTAGAGGGACGGAGCTCTCTCTCTCTCCCTCTCTCAGTGCTCCCAGAGGCCTTAGAGGGGAACGATCACTAAGTGGGCGCTGCCTAGACCTCCTGAGAAAATCCCATGGGCGGCCATGATGTTAACGGGGGTGGGTGGGGGGCTCCATCGGCTTCAGCGGGACAAGACCTTCACTGGACTGTGCTGGGGCTGAGCGCACCCTGCTTTGGTTCTAGAAGCCTGTCTGGATGGTGCTGCCTCCGCTTTCCGCACCCAGCCCTTCCCTCTGAGACTGAGGGGGGTGGGCCCTCCAATCCGCCTCCTCTTTCAAGCTACCAAAAATCCCCCCCCCTTTCACTGCCACGGCTTCTATTTTCCTCCTTCCCTTGCCGGGCCCCGGCTGCCGCGGCGAAAGACACAGAGCCCCTCCCTCCCTCCCTCCCCACCCCGCCTCGCTTAATCCCGCATTGATCATCTGCCTCCACGGATCGGGTGTGCGTAAGTTGGAGGCCGCGCATGGCTGCCCCTCTGCTGTGGGTTTTGCATACCAATTGCTGGCCTGGCTGGGAGGGGCCCCGGCACTGCCGGAGGAGACGAGGGCTGAGGCGGGCATGGCTTGGTTGGCAGGCCTGCCGGGCGTCCAGAACGCGACTCCCGCAGGCTGACAGCTGGCAGGAGCACTGAGTCCCAGTCCCAAGGTCAAGAAAGTCCTTCTTGTAGCTGACGGACGAGGAGGCTGCGGGGCTACCGTTGCCTACCTCATGCCTCCTCCTTCCCCTGGGGGTGCTCGATCCCCTGCCCCACACCCTGGCTTCTTCATGGGAGCTGTGTCTCCTTCAAGGCTTCTCAGGACCTTAGGCAAATCTAGGCAGGCAGCCCAAAAGACAACCTCAAAAGCAAGGAAGCTCAAGAAGCCAGAAATCACCAGAAGGAAGCAAAAGACCTCCCTGTTCCAGCACTCTCTGTGGAGCAGGCAGCTGCCTGGGGCAGCCCCATGAGGAGGAAGCCGGTGTGCGATGGGGGGGGGCTCGATTCCCGCCCAGCCTTCAGTGGCACAGGAAGAAGAGATAGGATTTATACCCTGCCCTTCACTTGGAGTCTCAGAGCGGCTGACAAACTCCTTTCCCTCCCCCTCCCTGCAACAGACACCCCTGTGAGGTGGGTGGGGCTGAGAGAGCTCTGCAGAAACTGCTCTTTTTCAAGGACAGCTCTTGTCAGAACTGTGGCTTGCCCAAGGTCATCCAGCAGGTGCGAGTGGAGGAGTGGGGAATCAAACCCGGTTCTCCCAGATTAGAGTCCGCGCACTTAACCACGACACCAAACTGGCGGGGCTTGGCTTCCACCGGTCAATATTTCGCCCATGCAAATGTTTTTCGCCTAATAATTAGCCAGTGGACAGGCTGGTGACTGGTCAGCTCAAAGCTATTTAACTGGCTCACTTTGGGGGCAAGGATGAATCCCCCCCCGTTGGGAATGTGGCATCCTCCCTGGGCTTTCGCCACCTAATTTTTGTGTGGTCTTAGCACATCTGTGCAGAGAAGGGGGGGGGGAGGCACCGACCATCTCTTTCTGTCAATGTGGGCTGTGGCTCTTCGACGCGATCAGGTTTCTAGCCCTCAGCTCTCTTCAGCTCTCCCACCGAGACTTGAGATCGAGTGTATCCGTGCAGCAGACTGAGGTGGTGCGGTCCTCACTGTATCTGTTCAGAGTGGAGGTGGCCGATGGCATCTTTGTTAAAAAAAGAAAGAAAGAAAGAAATGTCCTGCAAGTTGGAAGAGAGGAGGAGGAGGAGGAGATTGGATTTATACCCCGCCCTTCACTACCCAGAGGAGCCTCAGAGCGGCTTACAAACTCCTTTCCCTTCCCCTCCCCACAACAGACACCCTGTGTGGGAGGTGGGGCTGAGAGACTGTTGGGTTTTAGGTAGTCTTAAGTACTTAAAGTAAATCAGCAGAGTCAGCAGAGTAGTAAAGAGTCAGAGTCCATGGTGTGTTTAAAATATAAAAGTTTACTACAACCTAGCATGGGGAAAAGGTATACGGGATGAAAAATAACAAAGAGCTATATTTCTACATCCTCACAGCTAGACAGAACATGGCAGAGATCTAATGGAGACTATAGTCTATTGGAGACTATACGAGACTGGACTTCTTCTTGCTGTGGACAAAGGGTCATAAAATGCTAATACTAGCCAGTCTATTCTCCAATCAGAACAACAAACTAGATCTGAAGTTGGCGGGCTTTCTAGCTCTCTAAACACATCGGTCACAAACAAACATGTGATTTAGTAAACAGTATTAACCCAGTAAATACTGAAATAGAAGTGTTTAAACTTGTAACATCCAACAGAGACTCTGACAGAACTGCTCTTTTTCAAGAACAGCTCTGAGAGAACTTGTGACTGACCCACGGTCACACCAGCAGCTGCATGTGAAGGAGTGGGGAATCAAATCCGGTTCTCCCAGATTAGAGTCCACGCACGGAACCACTACACCAAACT